AGGAAGCCAGCTCATTCAAACCTAGAGAACGGCAGAGCAGTACATGGGATCATATGGGGAGGAACCTACAGGAAGAGGATGATGGAGAGGATGATGAGATTGCCTGAGGTCATGAAGACAAAGTCTAGGAGCCAGACAAGAAAACAGAGGAAGAGTCAGATAGTTGTGGAGAAATAGGAGGAGGAAGTAGCAATTTGTTGCCCTATATCATTTCCAGCATGGCTGGAAGATAGGTAGATGAGGATGTGGTTGTGTATATGGTAGCTGCATACTCACTGAGCCAAAAGAGGCTGGAAATTAGGGAGGCTGGGGGGGAAAGGGCAGATATGTCGGGCAAATATACCCCTTGGGATATTTCAGAGAAAATTCAATTTCAATTTCAATTCAAATTCAATTTCTATAGTTCTAGAAAGAAGATCAAAGTAATTGGAATAAAGAGGAAAAAATACATTGAGCCACTGAGATCAAAAAAGACGTCTGTCATCAGCAGAAGAAAGGAAGGCAGTAGAGCAGGATGCCAATGAAACTAATGGGATGTGGTTCAGGATGAAAAAAACAGAAACCTGCTGTGGGAGAAAGAAAGATAGACGGTGAAATAGGAAACTGGTATTAGACTGCCAGAGCATAATAAGAAAACAGTGGGCTAGTAGGAGGACTGAAAAAGATGGCCAGGGATCTGCAGCAGGAACTGAGAGGTACTGGTGCAGGGATTTGAATTAGTTAGCCTGGATAAATTAGAACTTGGAACAGAGGTCTTAAAGTGGTTGAGGAGACTGGGACTTCAGTAAAAGGTAAGGGATGAAGTAGAGCTAAGACTGCGACAGAAACAGACAGGGTAACAGAGTAAGAAGTATGCAAAATTCACCACAGCGGGTAAAAAAGGAATCAGAATTCCTGAGTCTCCCCATCTTTTATCTGTGCAAAACCAATTGGAAAGCATTTTGTTGCTCTCCAGCGTGACACCATACACAGAGAAATAGCTATCTCTTAACCTGTTATCAAATGAGGAGGCTTGAGGTGCTGGAAACAGATGTCGCAGTCTTTCACTAGATGTCCCAGTCTTTCCAAGTATGTATGTAACTATACGATACATTTCGGTGTCACAGGATGAGATTTTTCTTTTTGAAGAAAAAGTAAGTTCAAAAAGTGTATGCACAAAAAAGTCATAAGAATTATGGGACTGAAAGGTCAAGCGCTTTCCTGTTACATGCGTTAACTTTAATTCATCTTGTTTGTGCTTGTGCCTTAAGATAAAGTATTCAAGGATTCAGGAAGAAACCTGATATTTGCATTTTCTTGATCTTTACATGACAAAGTATTGCACTGGGAAAACAGAACCTATCCCTAAAAGTTTCTGGACCACTGCAACCTAGTTCAGAAAACAAATAAGGCTTTTCCTTTGAAGTACATGCAGGGAATGCAGCCTTATCCCCAAGATAGTGAGGGTAAGACTGACCTGTGACTAGTACACATGACTTTTTTCTTTGATATCATGGTTTCACGACTCTGGACTTGGATAGGAAAATGCACAGTCCCCACAGCTTTCCTGCTTTGAGTCTTTCTTGCAGTTCATAAGGAAAAACTCCTGAGTCAAGCAGAGAAAATCTGAAGGGCAATGTTGTGGCACAGAATCTGAAACCCATTGTAATTGGAGTCATATATGAGATTCACATCAGGGGAAAAAATCCTTTCATGCTTTATGCCAGAAGATCATCTCCAAGGAAATCTGACAACTTCAAAGGTGGCAGTGCAAAGTTGTTGAACCTCCCACACACTGTTAAATAAAACTCACTATTCTAGGAAGTATTGCAGATAACTCAGTCTTGCCATCCATTTGCACTTTCTTGTTATTTAGACAGCTCTGCCTATAACAGTCATGTTGTATGGACACATCCAAAAGTGATTTTTAGGAAGATCTAAAATTCCTTGTACCAGAAGTACAAGGAACTTTAGTAAAAACATTTGCATGTTTACAAATCACATGCATCACAACACACTACAACACAGGTGCTTTTTTTTTTTTTTTCTCCCAGAGAGCTTGTAACTGTCATAAACTAGAGGAGTCTGAGAAGAACATGAGATCATTGCTCTTTTCAGAAGTGCTTTGGGATTTTTAATGGCCACAAAGCACATAGGACTTCATCTGAACATTCATGCTGAGCATTTCCTGCAGTGCTACGGATAAAATGAGAATAGACAGAATAGCTCTCCTAGACACATAAACTCCAGATTTAACACAGTTTGAAAATCAGGTGCACTGGGTTAATGTTCCAAAATAGCTTCAAAGCCAGTCAGTCTTGCGGGTATTGAATACCTGTGGCCTCTTTTCTCCTTGTGCTTAATTTCCTGTTTCTTACTGAATGTGCACTCTGTGCCATTTCATTTCGACATCTCTAACAAATATCCTCCCACAAAACAAACCTCTTAAATTTCCTGACTTGTCAAAGAACTTGATTCCAGTAACAGGAGAAAACAGAAAAATAATGTAAACCTCAACATCTTCAATAGATTCTAGCAAAATCTTTTTCTTTTTCTACCAGCTGAATCCAGTCTTCATTCTTAGCTGTTATCTCCCTCTTCCTGAAGTGTCTAGCATAACAGAGCTGAAGTTTTTGTCTGATAACATAGATTTAGTTGCTGTGACTAGTGCCGCTTCCTTTCATGTGAGCTGTTCTAGCCTGCTTTGTTCTCCAGAGTTCTGACTTCTGTTGCATCTAGTGCAGATTGGTCTTTTATTCCGGTCTCTATTGTTTGAGAGATTGTTGATTTTGTTGTTGTAGTGGGCATCTTAAAGGTCAAACTGCTCTAGGAAAACATTTCAGAGAAAATTAATGAATTTGTAGAGAAACTGTGCCACCCAACAAATTTTATGGGCTGTTACCTCATTAAGATCATTACTTGCTTCTGTATGTTTGTTTAGAGGGCATATTTGCTCAGAAGATGCTTGGGCCCCTTCTTTAAAAATATGATTAAATTGATGGAGCCATTCTTTACATCTACGAGATGATCTAGATTTTAAATGACTGAAAGAGCATAATTGGTTAAGATACATTAATATGTTGTAACCACATGCAACTCTTTCAAACTAATTTCTACTTTTCTAACTCTGGTCATGTCCTTTTTTTTTTTTCAGCTAGGGGATACAAAACTTATGGAATATTGAGCACTAATACACCAGTAAGTAACAATTGCCTATAATTTATTTTTCTGCTTGGACTAGTCAGCATTTGGACACAGGTAGGTTCTTCCAGAGTCCACTGAATTCAATGTGTGGCTTACTTTTGGGCAGCAATGGTCCCTCTGAGAAATCAGTAATACTGGGACATAGTTCATGTTTTTCCCTGGGCATGAACCATCTGAACTGGTTCATAAAAGTGACCCTGGGAGCACTTCTGTAGTTTGTTGGTGTAAGTGGGATCAGCAAGTAGAGCAGTGGGATTAAAATGCAACGGTATTTTATAATATTCCTGATCTTTTAACTGTATATGGGCATTTGGACACCCAAGTAAAGATTTCAGGGTTAAAAAAAGGTAGACATGGACACTTTAAAATGGCTTAGGATTCAATATTACACTGAGTGCAGTGTATGGAAAAACCATCGTGAGACAATGATCTTTCCTGTGTAGTTGCAAATGTAGGATCAGTAAGTAGAGCACTTGAGTCTCCTGGGTGGGTTTATGAAATAAAAAACTCTCACTGTGGAGTGGTTATACATTCAAATGATTCTGCTGTCATATGAAAAACTGCTCAACAATATGATTAAAGTCTTGCTATCTGGTTGCAAGAGAGTATGGTTTTCAACAGCATATTGACTTTAGTGGGGTTATTTTCATAGGCTACCACCAGAGAAAAAGGCTCTCACTTCAGTCTTTGTTAGTGTGGGTTTTGATCCTCTGTCAGGGAAGGAATGTGTCACAGATTCATGAACAAATTAATTTCTGCATTGGAAAAGAATGCAGAATGTATTTTTTAAAAATGTAGTGAAACAAACAACATTAGTAACAGTTTTAAGCAATAATTAACAGTAAATTGACAAAGCAGGAGCTAAAGAGACACTGCTGCATTTCATCTAGCATGTTTGTTGTACATTTTGAGACTATAAGTACCAAGTCAAAACACACATAGTTAATAAATATGGATTAAAAAGTCCAAATTAAGTTCATAGTCAAATATGCATGAATGTTTATGCACTTGGTAGATGCTAGTGGCATTTTCCTGTTCCATCATAGTTCCATTTGAAAAACATTAATATTTAAAGATTAATGACTTCCATTATATCTGCAATATTGCTCATGAAAGACTGGGAATAAAAAAATTTCCTGAAGTCAGGTAGGTCTCTGCACAAGAGCTTCCTTATTGGTACATGAGTCTGGTTCACTTTATAGTTTCTAATGTGGCTGGACATACATCAGCAAAATCAATATATTACTTTTGCATATTTTTTATTTTGGGAAAATAAGCTATACCCGTAAGCAAGCAGTTTTGCTGGCAGCGGTTTGCTTGTGCTGAAGTCTGCTGAACACAGCCATGTAGGCCAGCAATCGCGGCCCCACGGCCTTACCCAAGATAGATGTGGCAATTATTTACCAAAGTACTTGTTGTTTGCAAGTTTGGTGGTGCTCACTGTGACGTGTTGAGGTACGACACAGACGCAGCATGTACAACCTCCTTTTCACTACTGTACTTCAGAGCCACTTGTGTGGAAGCCACAGACATCAGGCAAAACGCTGTTTTTAGTTCTAATCTGAGCGCACCATCTCTGAAGTCATGTCAGTGCATGGTAACTTATATGATCTGTATGATAAGAAGCTGTCAGTATTTAATGTATTTAAACTCAAACTAGCATCTCTTTTCAATATTTTTCAGAGCATCAGGTATCTGTTACAGTGACACACTTGGAACATTTTATAACATCTTACTAAGCTCTTCACCACTAAATTTCACTGTCAGCAGCACTTTGGGTTGCCTGAGAGTTATCAAAGGAGAAAAAGTTTTCTTACCTAACGGAGCTGCTGCCAGCATCGAGGTCTTGTGCCGTCACTGCGCCTATAATGGTGCCCACAGGCGTATCCTCATAAACCTCCATTGTGTACACAGGCTTGCTGAAAACTGGAGGTTCATCCATGTCCAACACGTTTATCTTCACAGTGGCAGTATCTTTGAATGGGCCTACTGAGTGAAATCGATGGTCCAGATGGACATTGGAGGCCTCGACTTTAAAGGTGTATGCCTTTTTTGTTTCAAAGTCTAGTGGCTGTAGAAAGAACAAAAGCAAAACATTAGATTTAACTAAACTAATTTAACTAAACATTAGATTTAACTGCAAAACCATTTTGGTAGGATTAATCTGACATAATTTAAGATGTCTTCAGTGTAAATTTCAGCTCCTGAGCTAATCATCTAAGCTTCTTTTGCAATTCATCTCATGCTAAGGTGGTTTCTGAAATAGGCCAGATGAATCACACTCAGGAAATTACTGTTTCTCCACATCAAAAAAATCAGGATGACTGGCATGGATGTAAACAGTTACAGTGTAGATGTCTGAAGTTAAATGAGTGAGATTCATCTCTGGCAAATGAGCTGTGTGCAGATCAGCCAGAGATTTGCATTCACAACTCCCATGCACAGGCAATCAGCTGTCTCCACCTGATCCAGTTCCTTAAACAGAAGATTTCAATTTCTTTTAGTGGTGAAAGCTTTCAGAGGACCATGACAAGGATAGAAATTACCCCAAATGAAAACACTGATATATACCAACAGGACAACCCAAACTTCAGCTCTGGCTTGGAATGTGAATTCCAACTTGATCCGAACCAAGTTTTTCCTCTAAAATGTCTATCTTAGCAGTTAATTGCTATTCACGCTGTATATTTGAGCTGTACACATGTTGAAAAATGCAGACTTTGATTCTGCCTTATGATCCAAGGTGTGATCCATAAGGTCTTGAAGGCAGCATAGCAGCTTTTGTGTACCTATCTGGGTTTTTGATGGAAATGCATTTTGCCATGAGATTGTTTTGGTGTGGGTTTCTGTCAATGTACAGCAATTTAGTGGCTTGGTTTTAGAAAAGTGATTTCAAAAACCTTAATACAGTCTTATTTAGTTGAAAAGACACAGAAGCTTTATTTTCAGTTAAAGGGTTTAGCCGCATTGGCTTTCAGTTTGTTTTTAATGTTACTGACAAAGTCCTTTCCTGATGTTTGGGTAACACTGGCACCTAGTGGTTCCTCCCTACAATTGTCAAGTTGGAAATTTTCTGATGGGAAAGCATATGCTACCTGGAAAAGAGAGCAGGATCACAAGTGTATGAGCAAGAATATTTCAATGTCTGTAGTTTTTTTTTTTTTCCCCAGCCATCATTACCGTAGTGTTTCCAGTCATTTGTCACAGCAAGGATAGATTTAAATTCTGCCATTTTCTGTCCTTATCACAACACGACATAATTGACCAGATGACTGTCTGGTGGAAATTGAACTAGCTCCATTAAAATCAATTGAGTTACCTTGACTTACATTAGCTGAACAGCTAGCATAATGATTTGAGATCCTTATGAAAGACTTTATAATTTTAATAGAGTAGATGGTCAGTCTATTTTGAGCTGGTGATTTAAAATTAGCTATCCAAGTCTATACACCACAGAAATTATCAGGCTTGAAAGCCAAGTACTACTAACCAATCCACTACTACATGCAACCATCCTCCTACAAACTAACTTCCCAGTAAAAGCCAGTATGAATTTCACCTTCATGACTGGACTGACAGAAAGAAGAAGAAACTAAGGCTAAGAAGACACAGACAAAATAAAGTGTGGAAGATCATGTATGCCCCAGTAGTGAAGCCCTAAACTGTTGTCTTCATTACAGATGGACATGCTGCTTCATTATCCAAATTGTTGTCACACTTTCTTTTCAGTTTCTATACTACTCATATTCACTGTTACACATTGTCAAAAAAATTTCCCCCAAACAAGCAAAAGATCCCCCACAAAGTCTTTTCCAGTTGATTATACAAATTGGTAACACATTTTCGAAAAATATATTAAGGAGACAAAACCTGGAGTTTAAAGAACCAGTCTGGAGTGGAAAAACTCCAAGTATGAGGGTTAAGCTAGAGATAAATGATTAAGACAGAGAAAGTGGGAAATCTAAGCTCTTAATTAAGTAGTAATCCTAACTGATGTCTTGTATCTATCTCTCATATCTGCAAAATTGCGTTAGTACTGTTCGGCCTGGCTCCTGTGATGCACGAGAGTGTATTTGCAGATGCATGTGCTCATGGAAAGAGCCATAATCCCTGTGGTCCTTGCAGGCTGTCTTTCACTGAGTTACTCTTCAAAGCGGCAGTACTAGATCATGGTCTTGGGCAAATGCCCAGTCACAACTTTCATGATGTAAGGGGAACACAGTCCTTGTTTGGGATAAATATAATTAGAGCTTAAACAATATGCGGCCAATGCAAAGAAGCACAGACGGCACTCAAAGTAGGAAGACACCGTCTGAAAGTGCTGAGCCATCATCAGAGAAAGAAATCAGTGACAGACTCCCAGAAAACAGCAGAATTTATCTTTTTAATATAATTGAGGCTAAACATCTGAAACATCTGTGGACAGATGGAAGATGTTGCAAATAGTAAACCTAGGATTTAATTTCAAAAAGAAAAAGTTGTTGTACAATATATATCATTCAGCATTCAGTATTGCTGTAGCATAGTGTTTATGGGGTGTCCATGCTATGATCTCCTGATAAATTCTGGTCTTCCCAGTCTTGCATAGTTGAGCCATACAGATAGGTATTAACAGTCTCAAATGTTGGCATTTTTCTTATATGCCTGGAGTCTGCCTGAAAACAGAAGAATTGAATCTCTGCCTATCTCTCAGACAAAAGCTTTTGGATTTTTAGTTTCAAAAACTTTAAAATAGCATTTCTTCGTATTTCTTTTTTTAGTAGATACCACTAAAATCAGTGAAGGAAATGAGTGGTCCACACAATATTTTACCTGCAATTTTTTTAAAACACATTTTGCTGTTACATAATAAACATCTGACAGTGCTCACTGCTATTTTCATTTAAAATCTGGAATGCTGGTAAGGGTAGAAATATATCAGCATGTTTAAATCTTACAGAAAAAAACCCATAAGATTATCTAAACGTCTTCCAATTAATCAGATTTTAACGGAATGTCTTCATAGAAGTGTTATTTTATAAAGAAACAATAGAAATACTTATTCCTTCTATAAAAATAATTCTATTCAGAAAACTAAGCTTGAATAAGGCTTTTATGTTACAAAAGTTATGACTTTTTCCACAGCAAAGAGTATTTTTGCTAATATTAAGGCAATATCTTATTGACTGTGAACTATTTCTAATTCAACAATTAACTGTGAACTATTTCTAGCTCAATAATTAGAAGAATATTTCTGATTGATATTCCAAGTACCAGTGACAGAATATAGATTTATTTGGCTCCCCTACCCCTTCTTATCTGCCTTTTCCTATGTTGCGGTTACAAACTGCTCTATATAGTTGCATAGTAAAGTGCTATCAGCGTATACACAGCTGTGTGCAGCAAAGGCATTCTACAAATCCCAAAATCAAATAGCTCATACTGACAAATCACCTTATCTTGCAACTCTGGAAGTACCACGAACACTTATTTAATATGACTAGGACAGCACACAAACAGCTCTGTGTTAGCAATAAATATATTTTGAAATATTACTGTCTTCCATATTCAAGGTAGAAGAAATATTACTATATAGATGTATCTGTATCTAAATTTATATAGTACATAGAGAGAAAGAGAGAGAGAAAACTAAAGAACTGAAAGAAAAAAAAAAAAGAGCTGAAAGACATAATGAAAAGCATGGCAAAGGTGGGAAAAGAACTATCCTGTCAGTTTAACCTGCTTCACAAAGAGGTAGGACCACAAACTCCAGAAATTTCTGCTTTTTGTCCACACATAAGAGATACAACAGTATTGTTTGTGATACAGGCTTTCATGATCCACCCCTATAATGATGAAAAAGCTGTATTTCAGGATGAGACCATAAGCCCCAAGACTTACAGATAGCTATACACAGTAGCACTGGGTTGAGAGGAAGCGCATAATAACTTAGGCTTGTCTTCATACCAGCGTTGTGCAACTGTAGAACAACTCTGTGTTCTGTATGCCTGTCTCAAAACCTGGCAACACGTCCCCCTTGAAGATGGGTTGAACGTCCATATACTTTGTGAAATACTGCCATCAGACTATTTGCTGTGCATCGACACGTTTCAGTAACTGCACTTCTGCAATGGATTTTAAATAGCACAAGGAAATAGTTGGTATTATAGAATAGGTTGATTTATTAAAGCAAGCTCCAGAGCAACCAGGAACATTCATTAATTTCAGAGATGAGAGTGCACAGTAAAAAATGAGACCTGTAGGCCAAATCCCTGCTGTAGATTTGAACAAATCTGAAGTGAGTGTTTCAAGATTTGATGGGAAGTGGGCAAAATACATGTATATTCTTTATCTGGAGAAGGGAAGAAGCTGACCAATATCAAGCATTCAGCTGTTTGCTGCTCTCAAGCATCTCACCCATTCCTGCAGGTGCCTTTCACTGTTCCAGGAAAAAACAAACCCAATTGCTGTATCTGCCCACCTCCGAGACTGAAGATCTCCCCTTCCTCACTGTTCCTGCCATTTTTCTCAGTGGCTGCCATGGTCTTTATGATTGTATCTGCACCTGGGTCACCACTTTCTGTCTGTACTGAAGGACTTCATATAGCCTGCTGTCCCTTCTCTAAATGCAAAACCACAATTCCCACTCACACAAACTCATGAATTATGATTACAGGCAGACAATGCCTATGCACACACCTGCAGAGGATATTCCTTGCCTCTGGAGAATGAAGGGGTGGTGTGGGGTGAGCAGTCAGTACAGTCTTGCTAGTAAAGCAGGCAGTAGCAGTAATGCAATGCTGGCTGATGGATGTCAGGAACCTGCCTTATGCTCACCATTAAAGTGTACAGATGCTATCAGGCTGCTCTTACATTATAGCAACGTCCTGGCGCTACATACATGGGCTGTCCCATGCCAAGGCAACTCAGCTTAGTCAGCAGTCAAGCTTCTACCTGCTGACACCAATTAAAGGGTTTTTAAAAGTGGTCCCTGAGGATACAAGGAAGCATACACTCCAAGTACTTTCCTGCAGCTACAGGGTCTGTTCATAGTCCCCCCAGTTTCTGTTACTCTGTCATCACTAAAGTTACTGCTTTTCATCATGCAGTGCTGTGTCCTCCCTGACGTGCTGGGATTTAATGGATACAGCTTTGTCACCTGAGCAGTTAGCAGTGGTACACAGATTAGATTATAAAAAAATAAGATTAAGATATTCCCTGAGCTTCCACTGTCCCACATGGAGAAGCTCACCCAATGTAGTGCAGCAGTGCAGGATCATATCAGGTGAAGCTTAGAAACAGTTTTTTCCTGGGCTTTAATGACACTGCACAAATTAGGAGAGTAATGTCTGAGCCAGACCCGGTGCTTGAACCCTCCTCAATTTCTGAATTAGCTCCTGCTGAGCCAATTACAGGGCTTCTGCACACAATGGGCTTATCCTAAAAACTCATCCTTAGTTTATTAAACTTAGTGCCAACTGCTCAGTGAAGCTTGGATCTTTCTGTTTTCCTTTTCTGTTGGTTGTGATCATGAAAGATTTCTTATTAACTTCAGTAAATTAGGACCTTGCCTGGGACTGACATTTTCCCTCTGTACCTGGGAGCACTACTCCATGCCCCACCCAAGGCCACTATGCTTCAGTACAAAGGTCAGTAAATCAGGACCTTGCCTGGGACTGACATATTTTCCCTCTGTACCTGGGAGCACTACTCCATGCCCCACCCAAGGCCACTATGCTTCAGTACAAAGGAGGTGGTCCCTTCTGTCACCCTGCTTCTTGTAGCTTACACTCGCTGTAGTTTGCTGAAGCTTACAGGTAGGATGACAGATACTACATAACTATAAAACTCAATAAACACTGTATTAACTAGCACCAGACAAGGGAAGAAATTGGTAATTCTATTCTCAATATAGTAATATTTCTTACTCTTATAGAGAACTATACACAGCACTATCCTAAAGCCAGACATCTTCCCCTCTTTTTACTGATAGTGTTTTCCCTTTTTTTTTGAGAGAGCAGAAGCTATTATGGTACTAACCACACAGAGGTGCTAAGTGGCATTTGAATCATTTCTTTAGCAGAATATTAGAAAAGCTATTCCATTTTTAATATATGTAAATGGCACAAGAGTAGTAGTAATCAAGCTTATATTGGATCATAGCATGAAAATAAATTAGAAACCAAAACAGATGATTTAAGATGTGCACCTTGTCCAGCTGCAGCTGTTTGTGCCTACATAGTGTCCAAGAACCAGAGTGGCCTCTTGCCTCCATCACCGCACTTAAAATGCTGAAAAGAACGGTTTGGCTTGTGCAATTTTTTATTGCCAACTATATTTTTCCACCAAAAATAAGCGTAGTCCAGGAAGGCTTCATTTTCCTCAGTTTTGATATAGAAATATCTCCATGGTTTTTTTGCATAACAACAGAACAAAAAAGCATCTATGCAGTGACTGACAGTTTCTAGCTGCAAGAAATTTTTCAGGAAAAATAAAAGCAAATTTTATAAATTGTTTTGAAGTGGCTCAGTACTGAATTACTGCAGCATTTACAGCGTCAGAATATGCTACTATACAGAAAAATGTGCAAATCTGTTTTTAAAGCACATGGCACTTTTTATTAGTGGCTTTGGCTATTTATTATTTATAATTCATAAATGAAAATGTTGATCCTGTTCATTCACCACCTTTGATTTAAAGAAGGACTTATATACATACGTAAATATCTGCATAAACCCACAAGGTCAAGTCAGTGTGTTGAACACCATGCAATGTGAAATTGCTTCTGTGCAGGCAAATGAATAGTGCTGTTGCAGGCTTGTACAGTACCAGTAGCTTGAATTTTAATGTGTCTACAGAATTATGAATGTCCAGCACTTCTGAAAATCTGAACACTGCAACCCATGCAAGCGCATTTATACTATTACAAGCGTAGAGGATGTGAAAAGCCAACTGAGTCAGTGAACTCAGAAGAATCCAGATTGCTCTTGTTTAACCTGGGACCCAGCAAGGAACATAACTGGATGAGGTTTGGATGATTCCAAAATGTCTTAAAACACTTGGATCATGTACAGCTTACTGAGTGGGACCTTTTCCCTGAGAAAAGTTTAGTGAAGGGCAATATGTGTAGGGTCTGTGTAAAGGCATTCTTTGTTGGAGGACCTGCATGCTGTGTTTATTTTTTTTCCACACTCCTGCATAGAAAAAAGCTGGGATTCCCTGACCTTCACAGCCTGACACTGTCCCCAGGCTCACTGCGATGAAGATTTAGAAGAGAATAGGACTATATTTTTTCACCGTCCTGTTCAGTGACAGAGATCTATCATCTACATTAGGCAACGTCAACTGATGTTCTGCTGTTGTAAAAGTGCTCTAAAATTTCAGATATGCCACATTTTGTTAATGAAAAGACTAAATAAATGCAGTGAAATACAATGACCAACTCTAAAGTATCTGGATGTATAATTATTTGTGTCAATTTTTCTTTTTAAATAGTTGTTCAATTAGATATTATTTAATTCCCCATATAGCAGCCTCAGAAGTGGCCAGGTGTTTTGCCTGTGCTGATCCTAAGATAACTCTATCAGGCAAATTCATATGTGGATGCTCTTCATCAGTAACAAATATTATATGGATGCTGTTTCAATCTGCGTTGCCAATTTGAATGTTGTGCCTATACAGTCTAGTATATATACTTAAGCATAAGTATGGAAAATTTCCATTGCTGTGTATAAAACCAAGCAGCGCAGCTGAGGTTTAGGACTAATCCAGGAAGAACTAAATCCTATCAAAAATCTGCTCTTGATGCTCAAACATTTGTTTTTCAATGGTTCCCACTCATTGCCGTTTCCGACCGGCAGTGCATGTGGAGGGGAATGCAGCTGCGCAACCTGACAGTTCCAGATGGAGCTATTTTAGAGCCATCTGCATAGAGAGAAAAAGGTGATCAGAATGATTTTTTAAAATTAAACAAAGATTAAAAATTCACACACATTCAAACTTTCAGTCAGAAAAGAAAGGGGTGTGTGATGAGTGGTGTTTATGTCTCATTGACATGTAATTTCATATGGGTGTTGCAATTTCCATTTTTCCATTTTATGTCACTACAACTAGCTTGACTTGACATCACCTGGTCTTTTAGTGCACCCATAGACAATTTACTGTTTCCCAAGTCAAGAGGCTGAAGCCAGGAATATTGGTGTTAGGATTAATATAATGCAAATACACATCCATGGTCAGATTTGTGGGAAATTTAAGCATATAAATTCTAAGTTTTATTTGAACTAAAGTTTGTCTTTTCCTAAAGCTTGTCTTAATACACATATCCAGAACCCTTTCATTTCCAGACCCTTGTGAAGTGTTCAGCTCATTGGTGTGCTTATTTTACAAAAAATACACTTCCAAATATGAGCTGTCTATAAAACATAAGCTAGCCTTTTAAAATGAGCTGATGGTTCAGATTTTTTTTTCTAAACAAGTTGATTATTGGTGCACATATACATGCCTGGGCTCAGGAGACAACCGTTGTTTAAAATGTGACTGTCCCTATTTTGGCTCTCACCTGCTGAGAGCTGTAATCCCTACAGTGCAAATAATACTTGTGCTTTCCATTTTAAAAATTCATAAATTCAGTGATCTTTAATTTATTCTAGTACACTAAACCAACAGCTGAGATGCAGTGTGCTCCCTTATGTGAATATCTGATAACCAGGTATTCGGGACATCATTAGGAGACTGGAAGTAGGACATGTCATTTTGCAACTATTTGGGATTCCTCTACCCTAAATAAAAATTCTGTTCACCACAGTACTGTACAACAGTTTCATTACTACAATAACAAACTTAAAATGAAAATTTTCAAAATAAAATTCTTATAAGTGAAAATGAAATAAATTTTCCTGAAGCAAACATAAAATATAGCTCTTTCATTCCATACTGTGAACTGTAACATTATACATATGGTTTTACATGGAAAACTTCCCATAAAAGAGAAATTATAATTTCTAGACAGTGATAAGAATTACTTTTCTGCCACTAAAATGGATATTATTTGTGAAAAGTCATATCTGATTCTATATGAAATGAAACACTAAACTCCAATTTCTTTCAAGACTAAGATCACAACCACAGATTCTAATAAAGATACAAACTACTGTGTGTTACTTACCAGGTATAATTGCACAACATTTAATTCTCCTACCTAACTTCTCACTTGAGCTGTAGGTACACACAGCCCTTTGGTGTCACATACCTTTTTCAGTTTGATGACTCCTTCCTGGGTGTTCTCATCTGTTATGATGTCAAACAAGTTTCCACCATCTCCTGGAACGATGTTGTACTCAATTTCTGCATTTTTCCCAAAATCAGGGTCCACAGCTCTGATCCTTCCAATAGCAGAACCAACATGAGAGGACTCAGGTACTTTTAAATGGAAAATACCTGTGACAAAGTGGTAAATAGTAATTTTTGGGATTTATTGATAATTAGCATAGTATGCCTGATTAAAAATAGTGAGCCAGTGCAAAATAAACAGATTTAAATATTCCAAATAAAATTATGAGATCAAAAAATGACAGCACTAGAAAGACATCCATCCATCCACTGGACTTACCCACTGAACATGGTAACTTCCTATAGGTTCTAGGTTTGGTCCAATACAACCATAAGAGCTTTACTGCCTCTGTCTTTTGAGCTAACTATCCATATTTCTATCTTTAATTTTACCCATATGGTTGACCTTTTGAATTAAACTCTACATGCAGACAGCACGTCTTTAAGCATTTTACTCCTTCTATGTTTAACAGGCTTTAGTATATAATTTTTTTGTTTGAGAAAATATATCTATGCACTTCACAGTAGTCAAAAGGAAAAATTCAACGGAAAAATAATTCCCACGCAGTATTATATTCAGTATTATAATTACAACTTGTGAAAGGGAAGATATAAGTATAATTTATACATTAGCCACCAGAGGGTGCTGTTACTAAAAGTTCAGTGGTATATATAAATTTTCAGCTCTGCACACTTCTGTTTTCAGTTAGTTTACTGCTAACCACAACAAAAGTTAAGAAAAAAGTACCCTGAAAATTACACACTTAAAAAATAATCATTACTACTGATATGTGACGACAAATGGTTTCATTCAGGGAAACAGCTATGTTGAAAAACACTAGACATATAGTTAAAACAGCTAGAAGAAAAGGTCCAAAGTACTTAAAAGTCAGCCTTGACTTTAACAACACTTGTAGCAGCAGGCCTTTCCTCTTCAGCTGCACCTCTTGCTGGAGCTGTTATTTTGCAAACGCCACCATGGAGAGGATTTCCAGTGGGCAGGCAGCACTCGCCTTTCTTCACACAGTAGCCTTGCTGTCAAAACCACCAGCAGCTTTTGGAGCTGATTTCACTGGGCACAGGATGTTTGATTTGCTTCATCCTGGCTCTCAACAAAGCTAGCATTTGCTTGCCCCGTTATTTTGTTTTCCTGGGTCATCCTCCAACAGCTCTTGCACAGCAGCTCCTTTGGCACAGGAAAACATTGGCAATGGCCTTCTCTGTTCCTCTACATGTGAACACACAGGAGGAAATTTACTCCTCTTTTTCAATAGTATGGTAGGACAGGCTTCCGTGACTACTGGGAGCTGTATTAGGGGGATGTCTCAGAGATTTCTGCCTGATAGTGGTTCAGTCACACTTCACAAAATAAGGCTCTGAGAAGTTGTGTATCACGTAACAGCAGGATAGATGATTTTCGCATCCAGCTGCTGAATTAAACAGCAGACGCTGCTCCCTGTCATTATCTCCTTACGATGAATGCTGTGTCAGCTTTTTCAGCTTTACAATATTTCCAGGTGAGGTAAAAAAGGACATTAGCACTATTGGATTAGGAGCAAACCTACTCTTTTCTGAACTAGTAGTTTGGGCTATGGTACATATATAATTGTCTGTTTGATTGCCACTGAAAAAATGTTTTGTCTGCTTCCTGCCCCTGTCCATCAGTAAACAAAGTAAATCTGAAGGAAAAAAATGTTTTGCTCGTTTGAGAAAATCCCTGCAAGTAAAGTCTGCTTGCGTCAGCATCCACATTTGGACTTGACCATGTGTAGCTTTGTAGAGCTCGTTGACTGAGCTGCTAAAGGTTGTGCGATTATCTTTTCAGTATTTTTTCCAAGGGAATATATTAAAGGAACATTTCCTTCTTTTTACAAGGAAATGTACTAAAGGAAGCTTTGTTTTTTCTTATTCTTGTTTTAACAGATGGAAAGGAGCACTATGACACAAAATACTATCAAGAAAAGAGTTGCCTCAGCTATTTCTTAGTTGTACTTCAATGACTCTGAGTAAAGAACAAAATTTTAACATGGTACGCAGGAGACAATCACAAATCCTCCTATTATCTCATGGCACCTACAAATACACGTATTACTGGGTCTGCCATGCAAGTTACTCAGAAGAGGTGGAAGAAAGGGGTCCAAAAGGGCTCTGCCTACACTTGAATTTTATATTACATTTCCACAACACAGTTCTAGCCCTGAGGCCCGGGTCTTTTACAGACACTTACACTGGATGACAGAAATCATTGCTGCAGCGCTTGCTCTTTACAGCCACAATTTTGGTGAACATAAAACGTAAGAGCACATGATAATGGATTTTTCGTTCTTTGCCTAGTTGATCTATTCTTAGTGAACTGAAGAGCACTCAGATTCATTAAAACAAACATTTCTCTATAAAATATTGTACCTGGCTGTAAAGTGTGTGGGACTTAGATGAAGTCAAAGAAACACTGCATTACTCATTTCAGATTGTTTAGGCCTTTATCAGTTATTTCCAATGACTTGGCATTTCATCACTTCCACAAATTCAACAGCAATAACGATGGGGTCATTCAGATTAATTTGAAACTCTGAAGTAATCTTCAACTCTGCCAGAGTCAGATCTCTGAAGATGTAGTATGCAATTATGCTGTCATCGTCCTCCTGTAATAGTATCTTTACAGCATATGGAAGCTGTTAATGGTGCTACTGTGACAACATGCTTTCAGAATAAAATAAATGAAAATAAAAAATGTATGTTGTGGCCAGCTCAGCAAAAAACTTCAACAGAATACAATATATGGCATGAAAACCTTCTTCTTTTTCCCTTCAGAAAATAGTCTTTGTACAGAGGACATGTGAAATGATCAACACATGCTGCACATGAAATGTAATAGAAAGAGTTCTGTAGAATTTTATTTTTCTGTTCCGAGAAGACACTACTTCTTGCTGTGGACTTGCTATGACAGTTTAGCATTATTCACTTTTTATTGTCTGTTTTTTCCATATATACTACTACCTCCGTTTGCTATGCAGTTATATTGAAACAGGCCTGAGTAGTAGCCTTTTACTCCCAAAGGTCCTGAAAACCTAATTCTCTGCAGCTTCTAGGAATGATGGAACAAGCAGCTCAGACAAACTTATGCAAGCACTGGTTACACTGCTCAAAAAGTTCAGTCAAATTTTGTAGATTGTCTCATGTGACTTCTCTACCTACAAAAATTTTTTATTTTACTTGCATAAATCTCTTTTAAATGTATTTTCTAAGTTTACTGCTGGCTTTTGTAAGGGATAAGTGATTTGGCATGTACCAAAGCAGCAAGCCCTTGCTTCCCTGAGACTGCACTATGAAACTGGACTCTCTAGCTAGTTACCCTTCTGCTGACTTCAGTCATGCATATTATATGCATATTAGAATATTTTCACATATAGAAAATCTAGTAGCAATGCATATTGCCCGGTCAAGATTTTTCACTCTGTTGTAACAAAAAAAAAAAACAAACAAAACAAAACAAAAAAAAAGTTATTTTTAAGGCCAAAAGTCATACACCAGTTAACATGCTTAACTTACGCAACACTTCACACTTAGATTATACTCAAAATTCAACCCAGAATCCAAAACTAGAGAAAGTCCAATGCTTAGGTAGCTTAACATAATAATTCAGACTTTCCCTTATTAAGCCTATGTAGTCTCCTGTCTACGTGACTCAAGGTGCAAAACTTCCTCAGAGTTTCAGGTTGAGCAGCAGCAATGATGGTGATAAAAATAAATGAGTGGTGATGCTGTTGAAGATTTCAGGCTGAAAATGACTGATACAGCTTATTACTCAGCCTGAAAAGCATTCAGGAAACTGAGGTGGAGGTGAACTAACAACTAATACACACTGTTTCTAAAACAAAGATGGTTCCAAAGTGCATAGTGGGTAGAAATCGGAGCTAAGTGACAGGCAATCAGACATATTGACTGAAATTTGTCACACATTTACAGTTCTTTTGACATTATTATATTAGCTTTAGTTTTTAAGGCTCAAAAGCTGTTCTGGGGTTTGATTTTTACTTACAAAGGGGTTTTTTTTGTTGTGTTTCTCCATGCCTGAAGTTTACGGGTACACCATCATTTACCAAAAAGGTTTTCAATTCTCATGAGAGTAAGAAATGAAAACCATCATTACATCTCATCAGCAAGATAACCATTAAGAAATAACTCATCTAAGGATCTAAGGACTAAATACTTAATGGCCTTCAGCCAAAGAGCTGTAAATGCTATTTAAGCTTTTTTCTACTCTATCATCATACATGTACCGTGTGCATGCAAGATTATCCTCTCCTGCTTTTTCTTTGTCTGTATTTTTTTTCTGCTCTCTTTGGCAGCTGCCAAAGTATTGCATTGCAGTTAATCATGATAGCATGAATCTTATAGGCAACGACACTGAAATAAAATAATTTCTTTCTCTTTGATCTAAATCTTCAATGTTTTATCAGGAAAAAGAATAACCAGATTATGTATATTATAATATTCTTGTTATCTTAAATTACCAACCCATTTCAGTTTTTATCCTGGACAGGTTATAAGGGCACTGATTTCTGTCTGTTTAGGAAGAATCCAAAGAAAACTGTTCATATTTACTTGCTCATGTTTTACCAATAGTGTAATAGGCAAAAGAAAGGGTACATACAAGCAGATATTTGTTATACTAAACCTGTTACATCAGCTACAGATAATCAGCCCAATAATTAGCAGCATCTGATGTACATGCTCCTAAAGCTGGAAAGATGCAATTTGGCACAGCAATGAGATACATTCATGCCTCTCCTAGCTGCAGCTCTGTGCCCTGCAGGGGTCTGGGACCTTGCAGACAGAAGAGAAAGGCTGGGCTTTGTCACCCCATGCTCTGATGCAGTTCACGCAAGACCTGGCATAGGCTGGCAAAACTTCAGTTATGGCAAAGCTTCTTCCATCCTCAAACCCACAGCTATGAGTTAGGGTTTATGGCCTCTTTAGACATAGTATAACCATTCTTAAAAATTATTTGTTCTCTCCTGTGGATCCCAAAGTCCACAGCTATCAAGAGCTACATCTCCCCAGACTGCAGAGATACTGGATGTCCAAGGGTCCCCAGTTCTTCAATG